TTTCGCTTCTCACCCAAGAAGCTCCAGAGCTGAAGAAGAAGCGAAACATCTTCAGAGAAAAATCAGAAAGTCCAGTTGCCTCTTGAAAAAGCACTTAGAACTGGATCAGGAAGCCAAAGTCCAGGAACACACCCCCCCCCCCCCCCCCCGCGACTTCTCAGACCTTTTTAATTTTTCCCCTCATCTCAAGGTACCATCCAAGAAGAAGCTGAGAGAGTTCTGAGGTCCAGAATGACCATGGGAGCAAACTTCAGAGGGGTTGTGTGATGCCAGAAGCAACTGATCCTTTTGTCCTCCTTAAAAAGGTCCTTGCAGGTGACTGGAGGCACAGTAAGCAAACAAAACATGACTTCCAGGCAGACATCTAGTGCTTAGCACATCACACACACACATCCTTATTCCTTTTAAAATAAAAGTCTGAACTAGAGCTCCCTAGACAAATACAGTTACAGCTGGTCATTTTATTACTTTTTATTATAATCCATAGCACTTTTCTACAAATCTATGGTAGTATTGCCAAGGGAAGCCACTCCCTCCCCAATAGAATTGCTTACTTGGCTGGATCACTGAATATTATGTACAAAGAAAGGGGCACAGGATCATAAAGGCTACCATTTTTTTTTTGTATGCAATTATCTCTGTGTAAGCAGAGATGTTCTCCAACATGCAGAAGTCAGTTCTCTGGTCACTACTTGATATCCATTCAAAGTTCCTGAAAAAGTTATCAGACTGAACCCTAACTTGGAGACACATTTTACTTGGGGAAGAGCCCCACTGAATACTGTGAGATGATTCTGAAGGCATCAGCATAAGGTTAGGCTGTTACCGTGCAACACTATTAGCTGGCTGAAGTAATGGCTTTGTAAATGCCTGCTGCCAGAATTAATAACCTTATAAGATCGATGAACCTTTCCCCCCCTAAATGCATGTTGCTATCTATATGTATGTACTTATGTCCAAGTGTTTAGTTTGGTGGAATGTCTGCAACATATAACTTCCCTCCTACCCATCCCTAATTTCCTTTTTACAACTCTGTATTGCTCTCAAATGTCCCATTGCAATTTATTTATAATAAATCAAAATGTTAACACGAGTATTATTATTGTTAAATTTATGCACAGCCCATTTCATGGTTTGAGGCAAGCGTTAATGAGTAGGTATCATCTGACTCCCCTCTCACTAGGCTGACAAGTGAAATAGGGGCTGGCCTGATTAGAAATTGTTAGCAATCTCCAGGGAACAAGAAGATTGTAGCTAGACTGAGAAAGTACTGGAAAAACAAAACTACCCTGAAAGATGACAGTGATTGACACTTGACATTTTTATTGTTGATGAGAAAACTATATGGATATGTCTTTGAATTCATCAAGAGTTGAGCAGGATTAAAAGGAATACTTTTTAAAGACTTGGACATATTGTTTTGGGGAGGGAAGGGTATGAGCTATGAAATTTTAGAGTTGGCCAATCACAACATTTTCTCTTCAGGGTCTTCTTTAGGAAGCCCCCTCCCCATATTCTCTATATTCTCAGCTTACTTTTGTCTTAGTATTAAGCAGTGGTGAAATTCAATTTTTTTTTACTACCGGTTCTATGGGTGTGGCTTGGTGGGCATGGCAGGGGAAGGATACTGCAAAATTCCCATTCCCTCCCCACTCTGGAGCCAGCCAGAGATGGTATTTTCCGGTTCTCCAAACTATTCAAAATTTCTGCTACCAGTTCTCCAAACCCTGAAAGAACCTGCTGAATTTCACCTCTGGTATTAGGGCATAGCCATACTTTTCTTGGAAAAAGCTGAAGAATTATAATGGTAGAAGAAAAAAGGAAGAGAAGAACCGTCATTATGATTTCACATGTGGAAGAGTACAGAAGAGGGAAGAAAGAATATAATGTGGTGGTGATGAATAGAAGGTTCAGAAAGACTTCAGTAACTTGGAATGGAAGAGACACAGGGAGGGACAGGGAGAGAGGGAGGGAGTTAGAGGGAGAGAGAGAGAGATACGAAACCTCAAAGAGGGAATTCTGTCTCAGAAGCAGAAAAAAGCAGTAGATAATAAATGCATTTCTGCAACAATTGGGCAGTGTGATGACCACTATCCACAAGCTCTCCATTACAACAGGGAGAGGCAACTTGTGGTCCTAGGAGCTATCTTATTTCTTGATGACAAAGACTCAAAGTTGATGTTGTTTCCTGCCATTCTGAGGCCAAGATCCTATGAAAACAGTAAGGTAGGTGACTCTAATAAAGAAAAGTGTCACTAGTTTTGTAATGGGATTAATCAGATATGCATGGCAAACTTCATGTCACTTGACTAAGCAGCGTGAAATCCTTGACTGAGTGATGCTTCTAATCCTTCTGGAACAACCCTATCGTTTATATCTTTTTGACAATGATGTGGAAAATACTTCATGAACAAGTATTTTATCTGAATTTGGTAACTCATGCTTTAGTGATTTAAAATAATGGACATCATCACCATCATCATCATCATCACCATCATCATCATTATTTAAAAACCCACTACATTACCCAAATACTCAAAAAAACTTCACACAGGGTAAGCAATAGTTGCTGTTGTATTACAAAATAAGCTATGGCCATATTTCCTACTAATGACTAAAGAAAATGCAAAATATTTGTTTCATCTATAAGTAAAATAAACAAAAGAGCAAATACTGAATTTTCACAACTTTAAAAAGTGATGGGAGAGAGGGGAAGAGTACTGAATTCATGGCATCTCTTAATTCAGTAGAAATTAACTTGTTTCTTCTTGAGAAATCCAATTTGTTTCAACAAGAATAAATCCTCGTAGTAATAGTAATATAAAATAAGTGTTGTGAGGCCTACATAGGCCAATGTAGAACTATTGTACCATTTTCACTAACTTTGGAAAGGGGTGGGATGGAGGAAAAAGAATAACTCTTATAGATTAGTTTTTCCATCATAATGTCATAATAGATTCACTACTTCTTTCAAACTCTTTATTAAGTTTATACTGCAGTTCTCATTGTATGTTCAAGCCTACTTGAGTTTCTTTCCTCTTTTGTTAGACTTGACTCTTTTGATGTATTCAGAGTATGCCCTGCTACAGAGACAATTTCACAGGAATCGGAAATATAAGCATACAACTCAGCAACAGTCACTGTGTAGTAGCAAAACAATCTGAAAGCCCCAAGATATATTTTTTACAAAATTTGGGTGATCGAAGGAGTCAAAAGCATAAAAATGTTCCCTTTCTCACTGTATGTATCTTGATCTAAATACAGCTACTTGGAAATCTCTTCTGCTGAAATTTAATGGACTTTTCTAAGCTAAAATATGTGGAAAATAAAAGTGGAAATTAGGCAGAACTTTCAATCAGAGAGTTGATCCAGGAACAACACACATGACTTAGTAAGCTCAAATCAATCCACTCATACAAATGTTAGAATCATGTATTTTATAGAATAATTTGTAATCAAGTTTTAACAACTCCAATAACTTTATTCAATTTATTATTCAATTTTATTTTGGATTTATAACTTAAAAGAACGTATTTGTGATGAACATGTGCTGAAATGCAAGATCTTATTCAAAGAAGTAATAAGTAACTTGTTTAGCTATGCATGCAAGATTTGGAATTCTGAGCCTAAGAATGTTGCCTAACTTTCATACCTTCCCCAAATCATTTCAGAATTAAAATCATGTTGTTTTGTTTGGAGGTTCACAGACATATTGATGTTGGGCTCCTAGGCTGCATCAACAGAGGGAATGAAAATCACATGAACTGTTAGTACCACTTTATACTGCACTGGTGGGACCCCATTTGGAATACTGCATCCAATTCTAGTAACCCTGATGCAGAAAAGATGTTGAGACTCTAGAAAGAGTCCACAGAAGAACAACAAAGATGATTAGGGGACTGGAGGCTAAAGTATACAATGAATGTTTGCAGGAACTAGGTATGTCTAGTCTAATGAAGAGACAAACTAGGAGTGACATGATAGCAGAATTCCAATACTTGAAGGGCTGTCATAGAGCAGAGGAGTCAATTTATTTTCCAAAGCATCTGAAGGCCAGACAAGGAATAATGGATGGAAATTGATCAAGGAGAGATTTAACCTAGAAATAAGGATAATTTTTCTGACAATAAGATCAACCAACCAACCATTGGAACAGAAGTGGAAGCTTCATCACTGGAAACTTTCAAGAAGAGACTGGACTGCCATCTCTCAGAAATGGTATAAGGTCTCCTGCTTGGGCTAGATGACCTACAAGATCCCTTCCAACTCTATTATAGGTATAGGTGAACTCTGGAAGGCTGGCATGGGTCATTTTAAATCAGATGATCACATAATATATGTTTAAGTGCATGAGACTCTATGAAATAATGGATTAATCATAATACCCATAGAGGACACTGCTAAATATATGCTCAGTTATAAGCTAATAAACACAACACAATATCATATATATAATGGAATTAGTGACTATCCAGTGGATATCAATGTTATACAAGTGAACACCATAACTGACATGCACGTTAGAATATATTGAAGTTTCAGTGACAAATTGCAAGAGGTGCAAAATACAATATCCTAAAAGGATGTAACATTAAAAGAGCATGATTAAAATGCAAATATGAAAACTAATCATAGGAAGGAAAGCAATCACAAAATTGATCATGAAGAATAAGGTTATTTATAGAGTAGCAACTTTTTGAAATCAGCCATGGCCACAACACAAAATGTCTTAACTCTAATGGTACCAATACTTAAAATGAAGGGGTGCCCAAAATTGTACAAAACTATTCTGATCCAGGCTTCCTGAGACAGTAAAAATTGCATGTTTAGTCCCCCAAACCCTCTTTTTATTTAAATGGCTGTGAATTATGATCATTCACAGCCCGTAATAAGTCACAAATAGTTTGTAAAGAGTCCAACAGAAGTCTGCCACAGTCTTTTGGGATAAGGCTGATAAGCACCCACCTNGCTAGTTTCGCTCTCATCTCCCTGGAAAGCAGTCAGTGGCAAAATGCTTCTAACCAACCGCAGGGACTTGTCACCAAGAGACTCTCTCTCTCTCTTTAGGTCTCCCCTCCCCTCCCCCTCCCCACTGCTCATTCCAAGATCGTTTTTCAAATACTGTGTTCACACAACGTCCGAAACGATGTTCGTTAAAACTCCAAACAAATCATAACTTGGCTTGAGACACATGGCACACTAAGCCTTGTTGTGCAGACTTAGTGTGTGTTGGTTTTAGTCGGTTGAAGAACTTCTCTTAATAGGAAGTCCATTGTTTGAGAACTTACTTTCAAGAAAGCCTGGCCATAGCTATGCTCTTTTTTTTTTTAAACACAGTTCTTAATTTTGACTGGATCTCCGGAGCCTCCATTCCCAAATCTGTTTTTACTGCGTTTGGTGTCTACGCGAATTGATTCTAGCAGTGGACTTAACAATAAAACAAAACGGAACAATAGGAGATGATTTTCGATTCAACGTCTAAAAATCTAAAAGGAAAAAAAATAGCTAAGAGCAATTATTTGGGAGGAAGGTCCCACTGCAATAAAGGGCTTCGCTTCCGAAATGATCTCGGACAAATCTTTACATACGAGTCAATCAGCTTTCACTACCTTTCTAAAACCGCCCAGTATAAACGCTTACTTCTAGATAAGAGAAACCGCGTCGGAACGAACGGAGCTGGTAGGGCTGATCTACCTTTGGCCATGATCTTGCTGCCCTCTAAACGCCAGACATTATCTTTTGAACAACCCCCGTCTACCCAGCCACCCCCGTTCCCCATCGGGTCCAGCTAAGCGTAGATCTGGAGAGCAGCCGAAACCGCCTCCTTGGGTCCCTTCCGTGCAACGGCGCGCGCGCCTTAGCTGGCTTCATCCGAGTCACTGTAATGCGATCGAGGCGAGAACTCCCCGTCGCTGCGGTGGGCTGGAGGCGAGGTTTTTCTCCGCTCGGGGAGCTGCTGGCCAGGCGGCTGGAGAAGCTGGCCCGGCGAGGGGGCTTTTTGCCCCAGGAGGGCGCCGTCCGTGAAGGAAGGGAAATGCAGCGGATCTGGCTGCAAGGAGTAGCCCCCTCCTGTCCCCGCAGGCGATTCTAGGGGGAAACGCGTCCTGCCGGGGCCCGCAACCTGGGCCCGGGGCTGCAGAGCGCCCCCTCCCGGAGGGGTACAAGGCGAGCGCTCGTAAGTCTGGGCGGCAGGCGGAAGGGAAGGGCCCTTGCCGCAGGGGGCGCTCTCGGGCGGCAGCGGGCTGTGCAGGAGCTCGGCTAAGGCGCTGATGTAGATCTGCGCCATCTGCAGCGTCTCGTACTTGGAGAGCTTCTTGTCGTTGTTAAAGGAGGGGATGACGTTGCGCAGCTGGTCGAAAGCGTGGTTCAGCCCGTGCATCCGGCGCCGCTCGCGAGCGTTGGCCGCCAGCCGCCTCTGCCGCTGCACGCCGTTCGTCTGGGAGCCCGGGCGGAGAAGGGCGCCGCCTCCGACGACGGCGGAGCAGGGCGAGCGGAGCCGCGGCGGGGGCGGCAACGGCGCCTTGCAAGTGCCGCTCCCAGGCTGCGGGTGGCGGTGGTGACGGGGCTGGGGCGATTGCTGAAGCGCGCACAGCTGCTTCCCGGAGGAACCGTTCGAATTCCGTCCGCTCGCGCGCTCGGGGCCACCGGCCCTCAGGAGCTCCTCATCTTCCTCCTCCTCTTCTTCTTCGTCTTCCTCCTCCTCCTCCTCTTCATCTCCCTCAGGTGTACCCGAAAGCAGATACCTGGGCGATGAGGAGAGGCGGCCAGGGCAGCAAATGCCCAACCAGGGGGCAGGGAAGGCGCCGCCACGACTTGACGCCGCCGCCTCTTCTCCCAAGAGGAGGTGGCCTTCCAGATGCGGCGGCGGCCCCAAATCCCTGCCGCTGCCGGCCCAGGCATTGGGCGCACTCGGCGCGCGCAGGTGGCTCATCGCGGCCGGGGGGTTGGTCCGGGTGTGGCGGCGACCAGGGGCGCAAAGAAGTGCCGCTGTAGCCCCGCTCCTGACACTTTCTTTCCCGCGTGCCCTTTCACGACCCCCGTCTCTTCCTCCTCCTCCTCCTCCTTCCTCCGCCGCCGCTAAGAGCCGTTTCTTCCCCGGCGGGCGCCTTTACAAAGCCGGAAATCTCCCAGGACATATAAGTGTCTGCCCACAGGCACACGGCCCGCACACTACCAGGCGTCTCCGGTTGCGAAGGGCGCTGCGCCCCTTTAAAAAGCGGCACGCGCCAGGGTCCCCCACCCTTGCCACCTCCTCCACGCACACACACACACACACACACACCTCCTCGGCGCCCCACCCTCCGTCTCCCACCCACCTCGCGCCAGTCGCGTGTCGACTCAGCCATTGGAGCCCGCGGGCCTTGGCGCGTGCTGGCAACCAATGGGCAAAGCAGTCGCGCTTGGGTGTTTGGGCTTTCGTTCCTTTTTNAGTCCAAGGGACTCACAGGAGTCTTCTCCAGCACCATAACTGATTATTATATGGAGGGGATGGGCATTCTGTTTCTCCTACTCACATAACTATTAGTACCCCATTGAACATAATGTTGGATTTACAAGGAAACAAAGCTGCAAACCAAATCAAGTTTAATGAGCACCACGTGTTTCAGAAATATGCACAGGATACTCATATCTCACTTTCATCATATTAGCCTTTGCCAACCTGATGCCCCCCGCAGATGCATTGGGAATTTATGACGTGTATGTGTGTGTTATCCTATCTAGATAAAGAAACACAGCAAGACAAGTCATATCGAAATCTTGTTTTTCTTTTTTAATTTGATCTCTTGTCCTCTCCCTCTCAAAAAACAAAATCCATGGCAACCGGCTTTTGCTAATGTGGGTTTTTTTGGTAATAACAACAACAATAATAGTACAGAAAGTGGATGGTGACGAAAAGGACTTGCATGACACTCAGAAATCAAGAAATGTCAAGGATTCTAAAGCTTAACAAAAACAACCCCAACACATAGGCGTTAAAAACCGGGCACAACAATGAAGCCCGATCATTTTCGCTCTCGCGCTCGCCCGCTGTTTGGTGGCTTCGCAAATGAGATTAATCGGGATCGTTATAAACATGGATGAGTTCAACGTTGCTCTAATCCAATTGGCAGTGAATTAATCGTTTTCTCTGGGGAGCTGCGCTCCCTTTCAATCCCCACCCCAGGCGGCTTCTAAAGTGCTCCAGACAAACCCCGAACTACCAGCCAATATTCGGTTTGGAAGAAAGTTGTATAAATAACTTTCCCTTCCCGTCTATTTACTTCAAAGCCATACATTAAAAATAAATTAAAAAAAAAAGATCACCCTCCACCCGCTTGTCATATTTCCAGTCTGAATTTGGACTGCGACGCCTCCCTCCGCTTCCTCCCCTCCCCACCAAGGAAAGCGATTCTCCCTTTCACTGCCAGATGTCTTTCGGCTCTTTGGACCAGCGGGGTGGACGGAGGAAGAGCCGATCAACAGAAGGAAGCGCCAACTATCTCAGAAGGAGCTGTCCTTGCCAAAGGAATTGCAGCCTGATCCACATTGAGTCGAAAAAAAAGAAAAGGGCCAAAACCCCAGTGAGGCGTCTTTTTGGATGAACAGGTGAATAAGTGGAGTTTGGAGATCAAGGAGATTTCCTCGAGAGTAAACAAAGAAATAAGAAACACTGACCAAGCCCCCGGGACGATAGACTTGAGCATATCAACCCATAGAAGTTGATATGGCCATATGGAAATCGACAGATCACCCAGTCAACTTGCAATCTTTCTTAAATCTATTACCTCCATAGAGGCTACCGGGCTGATCGGGAGTGCTTGCCACGACAGCCTTCAAGTGGTGAAACGCTGGGAACAAAACGTAGTGGAATCAGTCACACCGATATCACGAGAGTTTTCCTCCACGGTCATAAGCCCTTGGATTGAGATCGATTAACTTTTACTTTTTTTTTGGAACATCTGCTTGTTTGGAGTGGATTTTTAAAATGGCTTAAGTTCAAATATCATGAACGTGTTGGTATGGAATTCTCCAACAGAAAATTGGGAGATATCATGATTCTAAGACACCATGAGTGAGAAAAAAAATATTTACAGCACCAATTGGCTACACATTTTATATGGTATATATGGAGAGTAGGAAAATCTGAGTTCTGGACCTTCCTTAAGCTTAGTGGCTTTGGGCTAGTTTCGCTCTCATCTCCCTGGAAAGCAGTCAGTGGCAAAATGCTTCTAACCAACCGCAGGGACTTGTCACCAAGAGACTCTCTCTCTCTCTTTAGGTCTCCCCTCCCCTCCCCCTCCCCACTGCTCATTCCAAGATCGTTTTTCAAATACTGTGTTCACACAACGTCCGAAACGATGTTCGTTAAAACTCCAAACAAATCATAACTTGGCTTGAGACACATGGCACACTAAGCCTTGTTGTGCAGACTTAGTGTGTGTTGGTTTTAGTCGGTTGAAGAACTTCTCTTAATAGGAAGTCCATTGTTTGAGAACTTACTTTCAAGAAAGCCTGGCCATAGCTATGCTCTTTTTTTTTTTTAAACACAGTTCTTAATTTTGACTGGATCTCCGGAGCCTCCATTCCCAAATCTGTTTTTACTGCGTTTGGTGTCTACGCGAATTGATTCTAGCAGTGGACTTAACAATAAAACAAAACGGAA